ATTTTTGATTTCTGGATTCATCTCATGAAGCTAAATCTTTGTTTTGATTCAGCAGTTTTTAACACTTTTTCTGTAGAACCTGAGAAGTGGCATTTCAGAGCCCTTTAAAACCCATTGAGAAAAACAGGTTATCCCGATAAAAAACTTCATACAAGCTATCTGTCAAAAGACTTTAGAATGTGTATATTTATCTCACAGAGTTAATCCTTTGTTTTGATTCAGCAGGTTGGAAGCACATTTTGCACAGATGCCCAGTCTGCAGCCCTGTACTGTGGTTACAGAACACTGCAGGTCACGGTGGGGCAGAGGGTGGAAGGAAGGAGATTTTCCAGCCCCATCTTTCCCCTCACCAGGGCCCCAGAGGAACTCAGGGCCTCACAGGCCCTGCTGGCAAGGCTGAATGAAGGATGGGTACCCCACAGGTGGGCTGAGCATTGAGGGGAGATAGGACCAGGGGCAGGGAGGGCTGCACCCCTACTTACTTTTGACACTTCCCTTGTACTCTTGGGGCCGGGCAGATGCTTCTGGAGCCTGAGGGGCACCTGGAGAACCTGGAGTGAGGCTGGGGCCCTGCCCTGAGGTCTGTAGCTCCCAGCCCCACCTGGGCTCATCCACCACCTAGAGATGACCTGGTTCCCCAGGCTCCCCGAGGGTACCGCCCCACCCTGCTCAGGACAGTAAAGAAGGGTGGGGTGGAAGGTAGCCAGGGCCTCACTCTGGCTGCCCCTCTTCCTCCTAGGGAGACCTGGGTTTTGATGGACTCCCTGGGCTGCCTGGGGAGGAGGGACATGGAGTGAGCATACTGAGGTGGGTGTTGTGCTGGGGGTGGGTCAACTGTGGGAGTGAGGGTCGATGGGAAAGGGAGGCTGGGGGCTCAGCAGGAGCTCAGTGAATGTAATCGGTTGGCTTATTGAAGAGGATTTGTATATACCTGTGTTGGGGGCTCTTGGGCCTCTCTTACCTTGTTCCCCCATTTTTCAGGGTGATACTGGTGTCCAGGGCCTTCCTGGGTCTCCTGGTGAGGATAGAGAGCAGGTGAGTGCAGATGCCCTGGGAGGGCTAGTGGTGCAGTGCACCAAGGGCTTTGGGCACAACCAAGAAAAATTCTCAAGAAAACCAAAACATCCCACAGGCCCACATCCACAGCCCCATGCCCTGTGGGGCAGGGCCAGCTGTGCTTGGTTGGTTTGGGGATAAATTGGAGGTCTGACCATCCCACCCTTCAGAATGGCTGGGCTTCTGAGAACCACAGGTCCCTCCAGACCTGCCTTCGGGCTGTTCACTTCCATCTTTTCAAGGCGTCTGAGGCATGACTGGTCTGCATGGTCCTGAAGGAAGCTTGGTGAGTGATGGACAGGACACCTCGCCCTGGTTCTTATCCCGAAGGTCTCAGTCAGGGTCCTGTTTGCCACCATTTTGACCCCTGCCTTCTTCCCACTCTTGCCCTCTTGGCTGTCCCCACTGGGACTTAGTTCTCTGACCTAAGTTCATTCCTTCTGACTCTGGCTTGGTGCCCATTTCTAGGGACCCCAGGGAGAGCCAGGGTCTCCTGGACCACGGGGCACTTCTGTGTCACAGGTGAGTAGTCCTGCCCACCCCCTCCCCAGCTTTAGTGACTTCTTCTGGGCTTCCACAGATGGGTCAGACTCTGGATGGTGATAGAAAATTAAGGGCCTCAGGCCCTTGTTTCTCATGCTCTGAATGAGGCTGGCTGGAAGAGAGTTGTATACCCCTGGGAGGCCCCATGACTTCTCCTTCCCTGTGTGTGGGGTCTCCCCTGGCTCAGGGTGACATCAGCCCTCCTGGAGAGAAGGTAATGAATAAGTGACTTAGAGGACAATGATTTTGGAGGGAAGGTGTCGGAGAACCTTAATTGTCTGTTGGGACTTTAGCCGTGACTAGATGTATCCCTTTTCATGACCCTGAGCCTCCTCGTCTTCCCGCTGGGTCCTTGAGGTAAACCAGGGCTCCCTGGCATGCCTGGCTCAGACGGACCCCAGGTGACTGGGTCCTCACTTCTGAAGCCAGCTCCCCTTGGCCCTCCACCCCAGTCCAAAGCTTTTTTAGCGACCTTGCCCTGAAAAGTCACTGGTGGTGCCTCTCCATTGTCAGTTGACTTCATTGTGTAACAGGGAATTCGGATTGGAAGAAGTGTAGGTATTGATGGCTGATGTGATACCTTGGTTCTAGTCTTAGTTTAAAAGAATTTGAACAAGAGACACACAACAAAGGGGATGGAGCACTAATGTATTGTAATCAAAAAATAATATTATGAAAGCTAGGTGCAGAATAGACAGTACCCTCTCAGAGAGATGGGATTCAGGGCGGGCTGCTTGTAAGGATGAGACAACAATGATGGGCACTAGGGAGACTCCCTTTATGGGGGTCTTACATGATTATTCACAATGAGGTGGGAGAGGTGTTACTAGCAGGCATGTTCCGGGTGGTCTTCTGGGTACACATGCGCTACTAGTAGCTGGACATGCTTGTTCATATGTCACATGTCTCATTAGCATCTTCAATCTCCACCTGGGGGTGTGTTTTTACTATTATAATGAGCAATGATTTACCTGTTTGAGGTAAATCAAATGCGCATGCTCTCTAAAAGGGAAAGTCCCTACTGAAGATAGCTTTACTTGAGTGAGCTCAATCACAGCAAATGCTGAGGCTTATTGTGTGGGCTGTCACCACGGTCACTGCATCCCCAAAACATGGTTGCTTCCTGAACAACTCCCTATCCTGCCTCATAGGGAGGGGTGCAGAGGTGTCAGGGGCCAGTGGTGACATTCTCTATTCCTTAGCTGTAGAGTCACCCCAGGAAGGAAGGTCCTCCTGGAGCCAAAGAAAGCCATGTGAGATCTGACATGTCCTTTGCCCCCTGAAGGAGTCTCCCAAATTCTGGAGCATCAGAGTCCTTGGGATTTCCTTGTTCCATCCTTTACGTGGCTGTGACAGTATTCAAAACTCCTGTGCCCTGGAGCCCTACCCAGACTCCAGCATTGTGACATCCATTTCTCTCATTCCAAGGCCCCCGCTGTGACATCCTGAGGCCCCTTTATAAACCTCTCTTTCCTCCAGGGTCCACCTGGACCTCAGGGCCCTCTAGAATACCCAGGACCTCAAGGTGTCAAGGTAACTGACTGCAGGCTGGGGATAAAGGACTGTGTTGAAGGGAGTGAGATGGGGTCTCAGGAGCTTGCTCCTTCCAACCCACCTGGATTCACTGGCTACTCTGTCCTCCTCTAATTCCAGGGTGCAGATGGAATTCAGGGTCTGAAGGGCCGTAGGAGTGCAAAGGTGAGCACCACTTCCCAGCACCTCACTCCTGCCATCATGGCTCCTCAGCCTGCCCCTGGCTGCCCTTCAGCTCCTGAGTCCACCCTTCCACCCATGTTCTCAGAATCCCCCATTAGAGCCCTCAGCACTCTATCATCTGTGGGGTCCTCTCACCTCCACCTTTCTCAGAGGAGGACAGCTTTCTGAGGTTCAAAGGTGACACAGACGTGAAAAGTGTCAGGTTACATGGAGACCCCACACTGGCCCCAACTCCATGTCCCAATAATGCTCCACTCTGGAGCCCCCAGGCACCAGTCCATTCCCTGGAGGCCCCAGGCTCCTCAATTCCACTGTTGTGCATCCTTGGGCTCCTGGTCCCTGCAGGATGGCAACCCCATGGTCTGCATCAGGCTGGCCCTGGATCACTACACCCTCTATACACCACAGGCTCCCTCTCCTGCAACAGCTCCTGGGATCCACCAGCCCCACTCAGCCTCACTGGTGCCTCTTTCTCCTCTGGGCCCAGACCTCATCCCCAGTCCTCCACACTCACCTCTCCCACCCTCTCACTCAGGGTGAGGCTGGAGCCCTGGTTCCACAGGAGAGGATGGTCCCAAGTGGCAAAAGAAACATGATGAATCCACTGGAGACCCTGGATCCCCCAGGGATCACAAGCAAGAGGATGATGGGAGGAGAGATCTGTGCCTGGACCATCAAGGAATGTGGGCAGGAGAGTCAAGGCGAGAATGGGGATGCCCACAGCTGACATTAGCCGGTCCATTGAAGATGGCCATGCATTAATTATGCTCCCCTCTCTGTATATGGCACCTTCTGGCTGCTGATGGGTTAAGTGGGGTATAGAAGAAGTCAAGGAAAAACTGCTGTAGTGAAGACTTGATTGGAGATAAGGCACAGAGTGACTGCAGGTTGCAGGCAAAATGAACACGCCTAGACAGAGCAGTGGCAATTTGAGAAGGGAGTGTCGAACAGCAGTGAGACTTGCACTGTGCTGACATGTCCTGTCCATCCTGTGAGGCATGTGTGGACAATCCTGTTTTGCAGGTGAGACTCTGCAGTGGCACAGGGAGGCTTGGTCACCACACAAGCGGTGACAGGCAGGCCAGGAGCTGAGCCAGGGCAGTCTAGCTGCAGAATCACTGCTCCCAACCCCAGCTCCACAGCTGCCTGGGCAGGAGGAGCCCTGGAGCATCAGGAGAAAGGAGACACCTGGGGGAGTTGGGGTGATGTGCCATGTGGGCAAAGGGCAGGGGGCCTGCAGGGGGACTGGTCTTGGTGGGGCAAGAGTGGGTGCTGGGACAGATGGTGCTGAGGTCGGCAGGAGGGCTGCAGCTGGATCACAGTGACCCTGAAGGTCTTGAGGGAGCTGCAGGCACAGGGAAGCAGGATCCCAGCAGTAGAGTTGGGGAAAATTCACTCTCTGGAAGGAGAGACTGCAAAAGGTGGCTGTGGGGCAGGAGACAAGGGGCTAGGAGCTGGTGTGTGGGGGGTGCATTGGGAGATGGGGCATGGCCCTCACATGTGAGGGTCGGGGGTCTCCAGAGTGGAGTGGCACCTGGGCCTCCTGTCTCTCCTAACTGCTCCCTGTCCCTCCACAGGGCTAGCTGGGTGTTCCTGGTCTGCCTGCCTACCCCGGAAGCCAGGAACTCCGGGTGACACTGGGTGTGAGCTCCTCCTCCTTTTCACTTCCCTGACTTCTGATTCCAGGAAGCACAGACTAGTAGAACAGTGGGGGGACCCTTAAGAGTGTTTAGCCGGCCCCCTAACTACAGATGAGGAAGAGAGACCGAGAGCAGCAGGGGTTTGTCCCAGGCCACCTCATTCTTCTTGGCAGGATCCAGGTCCCCAAGCCGCTGCCTCCGTGGCCTCTGCTGGCCCCCTCTGACTCTTCTCAAGCCAGCCTCTCATAACTTCTCAATTTCCCTGCTTCTCCATCCTCACCAGGGTCTCCTGGGATTTCCTGGCTTTCCTGGAGTCAATGAAGAGAAGAGAACCTGGGGAAGCTGGGGGCAGGGAGAGGATGTGGAGGCAAAGGCTGGAGGGGTGTGGGGGGGCTCTGTGGGGAGTCATGCCCTGGGGAATGTCCACTCCATTCCCACCAGGGCCTGTGGAGGAAGTCAGGGTCTCTGGGAGAACGGGACCTCACGGTAAGTGTAAGGGAGAGATAACGGGGGACTCAAGGTCCAAAGGGGTTTGGGATTTTCTGACAACTCCACTCCCCTCTCTAGGGTTCATGGCATCCCCAGGGTCCCCGAGGTGCCACTGGGAAGTCTGGAGCTAAGGTGAGTGGTCTCTGCAGGTTTCCTTCTGCCCCTGCCCACTGAGCCCCAGCTCTCCCTCAACCCTGACCTTGGGGACAGCTGGGGAGTAACTCCTCCCATTCTCTGTTTTCCCCATAGGGAACATTGGAGGTGAGGCCCTCCATGGCACCCCGAGAGAGAGGGTGCATGTAGCATGAGCATCCTGTCTCTCCATGCACACAGGGAGCCTGGGTGAGCCAGCTCCCTTCTCACCACGGCAGGCAGCCCAGTCCCTGCCCCCATTCTACTAACTCAGCCCACCTTTGTCCCTAGGATCTTCCCGATTAACGTGTCTGGTCCTGTGCCTCCCTTTCCTCAGGCCATAAACTCTAGTCTAGTCTCAGGAGCCAAGAGAAGCCCCTTCCCCTAGAAGGCCTCCACTGTCTCACTGTGGTGACCTGGGAGCACACACCAGGGCTTCTGCCCCAGAGACGGACCCACCTCCCCAAGCAGTGACCCCTATTTCTGCTCCTCCTCCAGGGCCCACAAGGTGCCCCGGGAGGCATTGAAACCTGTGTCCCCCTGGAGAGATTGTCACCAGGAAGGGGGTGAATGGACAAGTATTTCCGGTGAGGGATGAAAGTTGGATTTCTGCCAGTTGTGGTTGGGGAGAGGAAAGAGAATGAGATGTGGGGAATACCAGGATTTTTTGAGGTGGGGGAGAGGTTTTTTACCTTAATCCCATTGCAGGAGGAGTCAGGAGAGTCAGGATCTCCAGGGATCCAGGGTGAGCCAGATGTCAATGTGGGTGACAGCTAACTCTACTTCCCAATCCTCTGCACCCCCTTCAGCTGCCTCCCGCCCCACTTTTCCTGTGACCTCTTTCAGCAGGAGGGCCTCCACAGCCAGGAGTCTCTGCTTCTGGCCATCCTCTCTGAGTGAGCCCTTCCACCCTTTCCTTGAAGGGAAGGGGACCAGGTGAGTTCCCTTACAGGCTAGACTTTCTATGTGTGTTCCATTGTCCCTGAGGGCAGTAGAGGGTGATTGAAGGTGTTCTGGAAGCAGTGGCTGCATCCTTGATCTTCAAGACTCCCAGACAATCTGTGCCTTCCACTTATTCTGCAGCATTCACTTGGGGAGATTGGGGAGAAAGCAGAGTTGGGGCAGCCAGGATCATCAGGGCCTAAATGACCCCTCCGGCCAGATGATGGCCCCAGAGGGAACCGTGTGATTTGTGGGGCGTGGAGGCTGAGTCCTCTCAGGCCCTAGGAATGACAGCCCTGGGAATATGGATTTCCGTGAGTGAGGATCTTAGAGTGTGGGGAGCCCTAGGCTGGGGGGATGCCTGGGAGGGAGGCTCGGGGGATGCCTGGGAGGGAGGCTCTGGGAATGGGGTCTCCTAGGAGGATGCATGGGGTCAAGGATCCAGAGAGAAAGTGAGAGGCCCTGTGGCTAACCCCCTAAAGCATTGCACAGCATGCAATGAGTGCAGGAGGTGGGGAGAGGGCACAGACACCCTCTTCCTAGGGAGGCAGTGGGTACTGCTCCTAGAGAAGGAGAAGGTAGCCTGTGCCTGCAGGAGTCTGTGCTACTTGGCTGAAGGGCCCTTGCTCTCACTCTGGATCAAGGTCCCATCAGTTTTCCTGGAGACCCCAGCCCCCCTGGAGAAGGTGACTCTGGTGACTCTTAAAGAAGAGAGGGTTAAAGAGGGTGGAGCTTCTATGGGAGGCCTCCACATGGCTGATGGGCTTGGGTGCTGGGAAGCTGGGGATGTGGCAGCACAGGCAGGGGAATGGGAGGGTTGGCAGTTTTAGGGTGATGCCAGCCAGGTTTGGGCCACCCGTGGCCTTGCTTCACCCCTGAAGGGCCAAGACAGTACTAAGGGTGACCATGGCAAGGATGGCGAACCAGGACACCCTGTGAGTGACCAGTGACCCCCCTCACTCCCACTGAGCCCCAGCCTTCAGCCCTTTACATCTCTTCTGTGCCCCACTCCTGAGGAGTCCCTTGGCTGGAGGCTAAACATGCTCCCAACCCAAATCCTCTCTTTCTAAGCATCCCCTGGGTCCCTCTGGGGAGAACGGACATCCTGGATCACTTGGCAAGCAGGTGAGTGAAGTGGGCCCTGGAACGCTGGCAGGCAGTCCTGGGCCCTGTGGTAGAAAACGGGCAATGGCAGGTGGGGCGGGCAGGGAGAGCTCGGTGTCTGTGCTGTCCCTGGGCTGCGCATGGGGGGTGTGCATGAGCACATGGGTGTATGAGCGTGTGGTGTCACGGGTATGTTGTTCCTGGGGTTTGGTGTACATGTTCTCACTGGGGTGGTCACGTTTACTGACCAATCAGAATGGACACTGGAGGTGGGACTTGCTGGCTTTTCTGCTGGGCCACAGGCTAACCTGGGCCCCCAGGTGGGGTGTGGGTCAGTGGCTCTTCCCCAAATGCACAGACTCCTTTGCATTTTCACAACGGGACCTCTGCAGCTGTGTGTGTGTATGCCGTGTGTGTGCAGTGTGTGCACGTGTGTGTGTGTGTGCAGTGTGTCCACAGTGTGTGCACATGTGTGCAGTGTGTGTATGTGTGTGTGTAGTACAGAAGGGGGAAGAGTGGAGCCTGGCTGCCCAGGGCCTCATGTTCTCCCCCTTCCTGTCTCATCTGCAGGGTCCCGGCAGGATACCTGGTCCCCAAGGGTGATGAGGAGTGAAGCCCAGGTGCGGGAGAGACTGCCCCTGGGTGCTGAAGTCCCCCTCTGCCTTCCTGCCCCTCAGGTGCCTCTTGTCTCCAGGTGTCTACCCACCCAAAACACCTCTCCCATGTTAAGCCCTTTTGGGGACACGGTTTCCTATTGTTGTTACTACTCCCGGGGCTCCCAGGGTACAGTAGGGTTGTCACTGGTGACTTATATGTGTAATCCCAGCACTTTGGGAGGCCAAGGCAGGAGGATTGTTTGAGTCCACAAGTTGGCAGCTACAGTGAGCCATGACTGCACCCCTGCATTCCAGCCTCCTCAACAGAATATGACCCTATCTCAAAACAATAACAACAACAAAACTAATGTTGCAATTTATTAAGAGACAGTAAATCTGGGTCACAAGCAAGTGGAGGGAGAGGAAGACCAAAATTTGGGGGTTGGAGTGTTTTAAATATGTAATGTTTATGAAACAACCAAGTCAGCAAATCACCAAGGCAATTCAATATATAATTCTGAATGGAGATGAAATCCTGGGTTTATGCACAGATCTAATCATTAATGCCTTAGAAATGGATTACAACACCCAGTGGTTTTTTTTTTAAGTGTAGAGATGAAATAGTAAGACCAAACTTGAGCTATGATGCACCACAGACCGTAAACCCAGGGTGAGGAGTCTCTGCTGACAAACAGGAGTTTAACTCTGAAGGGGCCAGCTGCATAGGGCTCTTGAACAAGACCGGCCATGTGATAGTCATAGAATTATTAAAATATACTTTTTAAAGAGTTGTTTTAGGTTCACAGGGAAATCGAGGAGAATTGAGTGGAGAGTAGAGAGAGTTCCCTCATACCCCCAGTCCCCACCCACCCAACCTCCCAGCTATCAACATCCCCCACCAGAGAGGGACACTGTTACAATTGATGACCCTGGATTGACACATTGTTACCCACAGTCCATAGTACATATTAGGGTTCATGGTTGGTGTTATATTTTCTACCAGTTTGGAAGAATGTATAATGACATGTAATCAAGGACGCCTTCCTGAAGGAGGGACTTTGGAGCATCTCTAAGAACATACGGGTCCTAGATAAGAGTGGAGAGAAGAAGGGGTCCCCTATGAACACAAACCCAGACACTGTCCCCTACCCCATCCAACACCCCCCTATGGCCCCTCCAGCATCCCTGCTCAGGCCCTGTCACCACCCTGTCTTCTCTGGCCCCAGGAATTCAAAGTAACCAAGGAGGTCCAGTTGCCCCAGCTGGCTGCA